AAATTACTTATACTTATGTTTCAAAATGTACTAATTATTTTTGTATTTTATGAATATTAAAATAAAAAATACTTAAATCAAACCTTTATGTTAAATATGTTCATGGTATAAATTATTATTATACATGTAATTGATTCAACAATTTTAGTAAATCACTGCCCTTTCAAAACATCACTTCGGTAAAATACGTCGGACGAAATTAATATATGTCAGTCATTTTTCTAAACTATTTATTTTGAAAGTGGCTCAAGTCACTTTACCGTAATGAAAAGTGGTGATTTTTTAATGTTTTTACGAAATTATTTATACTGAGAAAAATATCAGTATCCTGAGATAACAAATACAAGTAAATCTTCTCGAAAGTTAGCATCCATATTTTGAAACGTGTTAAAACGCAAACCCTTATATATATCGACTTCAAAACAAAGTGACTTATGCCACTTTCAAAATAAATGGCTCACGTATCGTGAGTTAGGGAATTACCTATTGGGAATTCGCGAATATCCATTATTACTATCTCTTCTGTGTTGTTGAGAAACAGCTTCACCTGTTCTATAACTGTTTTCAAGGGCACTGATCGGTAAAGTGGCCCGTGATAAGTCCACCAAACCTCGTCCGATAAAACATTACGACCTACCCTGATGTCGAGGTATCGGACACCATGGATTAGTTGACCGATGATATCTATATCCTGAGAATACATGACATGAACATGAATCCGATAAACATTCTTGTCCATCGGCTTCAGTTTGAAAAAAGTTTCATTTTGAAAAGAAGTGAAATTTTTAAATTGAAAGACTTCTTCCGCTTTAACCATAAAAGCTATACGAATGAATCTTACATAGAATTATTCTGCAGATTTACAAAAAACAACGATATATATTTTTATACGGTTTTTTTATGTAAAAAAATGTGTCGGGACAACGTTTTCCAGCTGAAAAGCTAAGGTCAAGGTCACTTTTTTTAAGTATCGAAGGTCATCGCTGTTTTGTGCACATTAATCCTTATTTTTTATAACACGGCACTGCGGTGCACATCAACACGAATTCAACGACCTCTGTTACTATGACCTTTAAAAAATAGGGGTTAATGTGCAAAAAATAGCGGTGATCTTCGATACTTGAAAATAATGACCTTGAAAAACAAAAAAGCATGGATCATAACATTCTTAGCTAAACAAAGTCGTTCTGATACATTTTTTTTTATATCAGCGAAAATAACGAAGATATTTCAATGTGCAGGATGAGAATAAATATCCTGTATATGATATAATATTTAATCATGGTATAGAGAAATTGATCATCGAATTTGGAAGAATCATTCCTATTGCTTTTAAAGATATAAAATACCAACTGTAAGTGCTCTTAAGCTATTAACTATTTCTTACTTATTCATATTACTCTCTGAATATCTGAATTTTTTGGGCGTAGTAATTTATTGCTAACAGAAAAATACCTGTGTTATAGCCGAGTTCGTGATGAAGTTCCCTTTACCGTTCTCTATATAGCAGGCGGAGTTATGCGTTCCCGGGAGAAAAATTTGACTGATTCTACGGTTACCCAGAATGTCCTGCCTCTCCTTCATCCATGTCGGCTGCGTTTTGAGACAGTCTATTTCTTTCAAATAGCCCGCTGTTGTTAGTTTCGCTACGCTATATTCTAAAGAAAAATGTTCAGAATATAATTTTTCCAAATCACGTCCAGAAAATTTTATTAAGTTAAACTTGTCACCCTCTTAGAAAATGTGGCGTAACTTCATTCTATTAACATATCCAGTAGCTAGGAAAGAAGCATGACAAGTCGTATTTAAAATAGCATTTTGGATAATATGTAATTTATCCCTTTGCACTCGAGGGCTCCGGAGCGGAGCCATTTAAAATTTGTCTTCAAACTCGAGGGCTCCGCTACGGAGACAATGCAAATAATTTTCAGTTTTTAACATAAGAATAAAAACAAATCGTAAAAATTAGTTATAGGATGTTTCGCTGTTGGTGACAAATGACGTTTGTATCCATAAACAATTAAAAAAATAATAACATACAACGATGACTTTTCTTTTAATGCTTATATCATGAACTTATATGTGAATATGATCTTTTCACTAAAATGGCTTCGAGTTGCTGGTAATATGACTCAAAAAAAACTTCGAGTGCAAAGGGTTATAAGACAATTACATGGTTATATTAAATTACGACAGCCTGTATAATTACAAGTAAATCGAAAGCATGAGCAATTTATTCCGAGATAAGTACGTAGTCGAAGTTGTGGGTTTAACCCTTAGCACTCCGAAGACCCTCGTATTATTTAGTATGGTTTTGGAACTAACTAACATGTTATAATGATATTGGACTTATATGAATTTGGCTGAAATCGAGAAATTTGCAAAAAAATCAATATTTTATTTTTTATAATTTTGTTATTGTTTGTTTTATAATTTTGTTTTGTTATTGTAATCGCCATCTATGCGAACTCTTTCTCTCGTCGCCTTGTTGCTTGGACGATATCACTATCGCTGCTATCAAAACGATAGACTAACTGTAGAAGAAAACCTTCTACAGTTAGTCTTTCTAACATATCTGTATAAACGTCTATCTGGAGCTCATCTTCGCTACTACTTCTGTCATGAGACTCATTCGTGTTTGAACGTTTTGCCATTGTTCTAATAAAAAATATGAGTAAATACATAGGTTGAAAATATCTAATTGTCATTACTAACTCACAAGATGATATTTACCAAAAAAACTTTTACCGAACAATTTATTTACCAAGAGAAGAATCACTTTTCCGATTTTCTCACTCGTTAGATCTATCTATACCGCTCGACGCTTCAAACCAGACCGAGTTCAGCTTTGAAAATCTTTTCCTCCAGATTTTATGATTATAAATCTCACTATACAGTGCGTGTTATGTTCGCATACCGACCTTTCTTCTACAAACTTGCCTTATCGCCCTTTTCAAATGGCGCCTTCGAAGTGCTCGGACCGTCGTGAGCACGCCTCTCACGTTCTCGTCGAAACCCGCTGACATTTCTTGTATATATCTTAGTAATTTTACTATATTTTGATTTGATTTCTTGCGCCATTTCAAGAGAAAACTTCAGGGAAACATGCATGTCTCAAAAAGTTGCGCTGAAATAACTGAATTCCCCGTAATCACTAATAAACTTTAATGCCCCATGAGAGGGGACAGCGGAGTGCAAAGGGTTAATATAAATAGATCAAATAACGACGGACAGATAGGGTCATCACCTACTGTGACATTGTCGCACGAACGAAAGTTGCGAGCTAGGTACAAATTCCGCTTGTATCCCCGTCTTCACTAAACCACTCGGCCCATTGGGCGTTACATTGTAAAGAACAATGGGCGAGTCTGGTTGACTGGTGTCTAAAAGTACAATCTTCTCATCAGGTTCGAAATCGACGTTGTTCCAATAGATCTCGATCTCGTGGATAGGCGGCTTGGATGTTATAGGAGAGATAAGAACACCCATGCGAGATTGCCCTGAGAAGAATAAATTGATAAAACGAGAAATGGTCCTTGTTCTGCAACGTAGGAATCGGAAATAAACTTACAACTCATCGCGGATGAACTGCAGGCTCCCACGGCTAATGTTTCGTCTATCGTTATCACCGTAAAGATGAGTATCAAGATAGCTAAACGGTGGACCATTGTTTCTTACAATTAGAAATTGCTAGCAACGATTGCGTCACTGTATTTACGACGACAAAAATCTAATATTTCCTTCGTTTGGATAAACCTATGATACATCCTGTAAAACAAGGTTGATCGAAGATAAAAAAACAAGGTCCAATTAACTTGTTCTCTATTAGTTTCAATGCTAACACTCTGCTGCATCCAGATTTCCGACACTGATAGTTCCTCGGATCACGGTCCGCGCGAGGAAGTTAAGTAAACAATCACTCAATAATTATGACGAAGCTTCGTAGAATCTGTCACAAGGTGAAATAAAGAAAAAGGCGTATTACTCTTACCAGGTGGTCGGGTCCTCTAACGTGGACGAGTTTATTTGGACAAGGAATTATTCTAACTTCTGGTCCGAACTCACAGTAATCGTACGCAGATCGAGGATGAATGAGATAAAATTGAACAAACTAAAGAAAATGAGGCAGACGAGAGACCTCGCGAGTATGCCGATCTGACCCTACATGTGACACTCGACACTGTGCAACGTGGTTTTGTAATAATTTGTTTTCATTATCCTACGAACGTATTGATCACGCTCGCTGACACATTGGAATTTTTAACTTGCGAAAAGATTGCCTCGAGCGTCAATCGCCGGATTACTTGAGAATAAAAATTGCGGTGTTTCCGCTGTTCGGAGGTCTAGGCCCGCAAAAGTGTGGATACGAACGTGAAACTCTCACTATTCCATTCTACGGTTTAGTTGTTGCATAAACACTAGAATCGTATCTTTCGCGACAGCATTTTTCTCATATCCTCGACCGTAATAGGTATTCATACTGAAGCGAGTACAAAGTATTAGGTCTACCGGAAAGTTCTGTCCGTTTTCGAATTGAAATATAACACAATTTTCATACATTTAATGATATTTATTGTAGAATATACTTTCCATCGTTACTTACGACTTCTTGCCAGCGTGATGGCAACTTGTAAATGCCATTTTTAAAAAATGATTTATTTTTAGAGGCGAAGAACTCGACCAGTGCTTGGTTGACATCAGCTTCAATATTGAATTTTTTTCCTGTAAAAAGTTTTGCAAAGAGAGAAACAAGTGATAATCGGAGGGTGCAAGGTCTGGGGAGTATGGTGGATGCGACAGAATTTGCCAGCCTAGCTCTGCGATTTTCTGACGAGTCGCCAAAGCAGCATGTGGTCTGGCATTATCATCGGTAGCCATGTTTTCACGATCGCGTCTCGCTTAATAATGACACGAGACATCTTTGTTTCAGTTTATTTAGGAGAGTACATGCGTGTAAATGCAATGATAAAGAGAGATAGACGTATATGTCTCAAATCAACATGTGCATATGGATTGAAACTTGAAGTGATACTATCGGACAGAACTTTCCGGTAGACCTAATACATGTGTCTCGCAGTCACGTGAGCATGTGCGATCCCTTTTTTTAAATTGGTTTCTCTTGATTAGAAAGGTCTCATAATGTTAATGAACCCGTTCGTAGACTTCGTTCCTTTTAGATCAATTTTAAAAACAGTAAACAAAAAGAAATGATGATTTTAGTCATAGAAATAGTAACACTGGCTTGAATCGAAGAGAAAAATAATTCCTTAACAGTTGAAGATAATATCAAGATAATTTTTTCTTTTTTAATTATTTTCTCTAGTTAATTGCAGGTTTATTTTGATTGGAAGACAACTTCCGAAACTAACATTCGTAGATAACAATTAGATAAAGGTGATTGTAATACCAAATTAGAAAAATTAAATATATCTTTCTTTTAGCTTTAGGAATAGAATAAAAAAGATTATGAAATTTTTTAAAAAATCCGAAATGGTTCCTGTTTTTTTATGAAAAGTAACATTTCCAAGACTTTCTTTATATCTGGATATCACGATTTAAATTGATTTGACCCTCTGGTGGACGCGCCATGAACTCCGTACGCGCGGTACTAATGTTATGTTATGTTTTTTGTTACCAACTTATTTTATCGAACAGTTACAATACATATACCTGCCTAAATGTGCAAATTAAACATGATAAAAAATACAAATATTTTTGTTTGTATAATTTATGTACATATGTACAAATGTCTGGGAGGAGACCATCCTCTTCATTGCAAATTTTGGTCGCTATAATCAATGTATGATTGCAGTAAAAGAAAGTGAATAAATCATGTCTTATAATCCAGTTTAATCCGACCATGTCAATTAGGCATCAACACAATAAATACTGTATACATNCGAGTACAAAGTATTAGGTCTACCGGAAAGTTCTGTCCGTTTTCGAATTGAAATATAACACAATTTTCATACATTTAATGATATTTATTGTAGAATATACTTTCCATCGTTACTTACGACTTCTTGCCAGCGTGATGGCAACTTGTAAATGCCATTTTTAAAAAATGATTTATTTTTAGAGGCGAAGAACTCGACCAGTGCTTGGTTGACATCAGCTTCAATATTGAATTTTTTTCCTGTAAAAAGTTTTGCAAAGAGAGAAACAAGTGATAATCGGAGGGTGCAAGGTCTGGGGAGTATGGTGGATGCGACAGAATTTGCCAGCCTAGCTCTGCGATTTTCTGACGAGTCGCCAAAGCAGCATGTGGTCTGGCATTATCATCGGTAGCCATGTTTTCACGATCGCGTCTCGCTTAATAATGACACGAGACATCTTTGTTTCAGTTTATTTAGGAGAGTACATGCGTGTAAATGCAATGATAAAGAGAGATAGACGTATATGTCTCAAATCAACATGTGCATATGGATTGAAACTTGAAGTGATACTATCGGACAGAACTTTCCGGTAGACCTAATACATGTGTCTCGCAGTCACGTGAGCATGTGCGATCCCTTTTTTTAAATTGGTTTCTCTTGATTAGAAAGGTCTCATAATGTTAATGAACCCGTTCGTAGACTTCGTTCCTTTTAGATCAATTTTAAAAACAGTAAACAAAAAGAAATGATGATTTTAGTCATAGAAATAGTAACACTGGCTTGAATCGAAGAGAAAAATAATTCCTTAACAGTTGAAGATAATATCAAGATAATTTTTTCTTTTTTAATTATTTTCTCTAGTTAATTGCAGGTTTATTTTGATTGGAAGACAACTTCCGAAACTAACATTCGTAGATAACAATTAGATAAAGGTGATTGTAATACCAAATTAGAAAAATTAAATATATCTTTCTTTTAGCTTTAGGAATAGAATAAAAAAGATTATGAAATTTTTTAAAAAATCCGAAATGGTTCCTGTTTTTTTATGAAAAGTAACATTTCCAAGACTTTCTTTATATCTGGATATCACGATTTAAATTGATTTGACCCTCTGGTGGACGCGCCATGAACTCCGTACGCGCGGTACTAATGTTATGTTATGTTTTTTGTTACCAACTTATTTTATCGAACAGTTACAATACATATACCTGCCTAAATGTGCAAATTAAACATGATAAAAAATACAAATATTTTTGTTTGTATAATTTATGTACATATGTACAAATGTCTGGGAGGAGACCATCCTCTTCATTGCAAATTTTGGTCGCTATAATCAATGTATGATTGCAGTAAAAGAAAGTGAATAAATCATGTCTTATAATCCAGTTTAATCCGACCATGTCAATTAGGCATCAACACAATAAATACTGTATACATATAACATTTAAATTCATTTATTTAAAAAATAATGTTATATACAGAGAAATAACATTATTGAATCTTTGTAAAAGTATTTCTATATTGGTCTTATCTTATAACATATATGTACAAAAACTCTTAAACGATACAATATTTAAAAGGATAGCAGAGAAATATACAAAATTTATAATATATCTTGTTGAAAAAGGTGTAGTATACAATTTATAAACTATGTCAGGCACTGTCACGCCGTATATTTACAAACTTGTTCGTATGGTAACTTTCTTAGAATCGTACGATCTCTTTTAAGCTCTACATCGATACTATAATTCTCTATATGAAGTTTGTATACTACTCCTTTCATTCCCTTATATTTTCCCCAAAGAATTACAACATCTTTTCCAATGGCAGGTATTACTGTCTCTAAATATTCTTGATCTATTTTTATGACATGATTTTCGACGTCCTCTGGAGATTTTAATCTCACTTTTGCGACAAAGTTCTGATTTTCTACTAACTCGATTATACCTTTAGACTTATAGTACTTTTCCCCTAAACTTTTTGTAACTACCTTCACTGTTAAGCCTTCTCTTAACCAGCCTTCCTTGTTGCTTTCATCGTTATCCATTTTGGTCTTAGATTTCCTTAGCTTTTCAAGCAAAACTGCTTCTGCCTCTTCGTCGCTCAACGCTTCCTGTTTTATACTAGAAATATTGAAGGTCGACTTGCCACTGGTTGAACCTCTATCTTTATTTTTATCCTTCTCCTGTTTTATAGGATTGAGAAGTAACTTTGGTTTCATGTTTAATTTCATTTCGATAACTAGAGGCGCGTCTGTATCAGAACGTGTCAATGGCTCCTTAAAAGTTTCAGTTTGTCCACTACCTTCTTGTTGGCCTTTCTCTACTTGTTTTTCAATGAATTCCATCATTCTCTCTTCGTCATCCTTGTCCATCTTTTGTTTTTTAGCTTTCTTTTCCTCTGCTGCTAAAGTCTCTGGGTCTCTATCGATATACGTTACATACCAGCCTAGACAAATAATCATAATTGAAATTACATATTGTTAACATCAGAAACCGGAGAAAGCAAAATTGATAATCAATTTGATCTTCTAAAATAGTATACCTTTTTCTGTTTCATCGACAACACATTGTCCGGTACGACCGAGCCACTTTACAAATGCCGTCAGAGTAACCCAAATTGTGGCGTTCATGTGTATGTGCGCTCTGTCAGAGATATATTCCTGATACACCCGATTAGCTGGTACTCTTCTAGTGCCGAATTGTCTCTTTAACAAATTTAAATAACCTTGAGAGAATTCCCTAGAAAACTGATCCATGTATCGATGTGCATTATCTGCGAACAATAGCAACTGTCTATGGTGAGATTCGGACATTGTATGACACTTGAATCCATTCTCGTCCCGGCATTGTTTTTGACACATCTGACAGTACCATCTTAACTTCTGCAACCCCTTAGCCTTAATTTTATTAGCAATGTATTTTGGGGTTCCCACTTCGTGTTTCCCCATCGTTTTAGTTTCCAATAAATCGGAAACCAAGAAAACTCTTCACACTCCTGCAAATAATTAATAAAGTTTTAATACAAGAAATTTTACGTATAAAATGTACGTAATGAAAATATATATGTGATGTATAATAACACTTGGAGAAATCGTCATTATTCAATGTTACTGTACCTTTTTCTTCCCCTTCTATCAATAAATCTCTGTCATTTATTAAACCACAAACGATTAAATTTCACTCAAAACATTAACGCCTCTGTATTCAGTGCCGTACTGAGCGATATCGGAGGCGAAGCGTCTAGAAATATGAGAGCAGGTGTAGGTAATATAGTAGTGCCTCACTTTGGTAAGCCAAGCCGGGGATAACTGGCTTAGAATTATGAAACAGGTAGAGAAACTGTTTCTCCTTTGATTGGTCGACGCTTCACAGGTAAGCAGTGCTGCCCCCACAGTTTGCGACAAAGAGAAGAAGTGGCGAGTGAGCATTAAAATAGTGGGGATAGAAATTGCTTACGATGAGGAGGCGGTACTGAATATATTAATAAAAAAAACCGTTACGAGATTATTCCTGAAACTATATACTTTTATGAAGATGCATTGTATTGATTTCAGCAGGGAAACTCGACTCTCAGTCAATCTTTGGGGCACTGTTTTGACTGCCATCTGAACTAACTGCAAATTTGGACGCACTAAAATTCAATACGACGGTGGGCAGCCATACTGAATTTTAGTTCCTCCAAGTTTGCGGCTAACTCAGATGGCAGTAAAAAAAGTGCCTCCGATTTTCCCTATAGAGTTATCTCTATAGATTTAGAGTCTATAGATAGATTAGAATCTAATATAGAGTCTAATATAGATTAGAGTATAAAATATACTCTAGATGATATAATTATAATCTATAGTGTAATATAGTATAATATAATATAATATATATATAATATGGTATAATATACTATAGATTAGAGAGAGTATAGATTAGAGATTTAGATTTAGAGTTATCTCTAGGTATCTAGTCCCCTAGATTTCAGCAAAGCCATAGGGTAGAACTTTATGGAAGCGAAACTCGATTCGAACACGGAGCATGGAGAACTTACAAGCCCTATGCGTCGATATGTGACCATGTCGCATCGTGTAGACGCAAGCACATTTCAGTTAGTCGACAACCTCCTCTTTTACTCCAACTTCTGTTTGTCGACTATCGAAGGGATAACGTGGACGCAATGGTCACTCCTATGACGCCGGCAAATGGAAATTCTGTTGCAGAGTGCAACAGGGATATAGAAATTCATAAGCTCAAATTATTCATTGGTTTATCATTTTTTTCGATACAATGTTTAATGGTAGAATATTTAGAATTTATATCTTTTTTGCGTTCGTAGAAACATTTTATTTCTTACATTGACATTTCGATTTTATGCAAACTTTCGAGGGATGACGCAAAAATAATGGATGGATTTATAAACAAAAATTGCAGAATTGTTGTAACAGTAAAATCAGTATGCAATCTGTATCACGTGGGAACTCTCTTTTGCATCAACATCAATCTATTCCAGCACTCCTTGTTAAGCGTTATTAAACCGATTTTCAAATCTCCGACTATATGTCTATCAGAAAATCCGTAAAACATTAAAAGTTTCTAATCTCACTAAACAGTTCTTGAACGTGAAAGTAACGTTGAATATTCCGCGAAGCTAGCAAAGTTGCTGAAACTTCCAAAGCTTTCGAAAGCATTGAAATCGATGGGGCGCGAAATGTTTCATCCGTCTTCGTTAAACGTATAATTAATTACCTGTTAACAAAGTCATAGGTCATTATCATTTCGTTATCACAATTATTCACAATTTTATATGTTGATTAATTTGATTGATTAATTGATCTAAACGTGTTCTACGAAATAACCGTTATCGTCGTATTAACGGTAAGAATAATTGAGCCGTTTATTTTGAAAGTGGCATAAGTCACTTTTTCAAAAAAATCGAGTTAATGGTGACACTAATCACAATTTAACGGTATCTTTTCATTTTTAAAAAATTTGCAATCAATAAGTTGAGAACTATTGAGATTTGTTCGAGAGAAGTTTTGCTAATTAACGGTATAACAAGCATGTTTATTTTGAAAGTGGCATAAGTCACTTTTTCAAAAAAATCGAGTTAATGGTGACACTAATCACAATTTAACGGTATCTTTTCATTTTTAAAAAATTTGCAATCAATAAGTTGAGAACTATTGAGATTTGTTCGAGAGAAGTTTTGCTAATTAACGGTATAACAAGCATGTTTATTTTGAAAGTGGTGTAAGTCGCTGTACTCAGGAAATTAATTGCGGGGCTTAGTGTAAAAGAAATAGAAACGTGTGATAAGTGTGTGTGAAGTATTGTTTTGAATTATTTTCAGTATTTTTTAAAAAGTTGTGATCACTGGACTTATTTTTATAAGTGCGAAAGAATAGTGCAGTTTTGTAAATTATATTATAGTGACGTGGCGGCTACCTCCAGACCCGCCAGCAGATGGCTATAAAATGTTTTATAAACTAACTTTAGATGAAAAAGATGAATTTCTAACTTTGGATTTGTCACCAAAAAGAGGAAGACCTAGGCGTTCTTCACAAATAGAAATGGATCCCTTATCCGCTGGATCTCGTCCTGTTTCTTCAGCAAAATACAAAGACACGATGGACTTGCTTAATTATATACCCCCAATATACCACAGTTATTTAAAAAATTTGAAACAAAACACGATTTCCGAGGACTTAATCACTCCTATCGATGACGAAAATTAAATTGAACCGATGTATTTTCATATAAATTACTTATACTTATGTTTCAAAATGTACTAATTATTTTTGTATTTTATGAATATTAAAATAAAAAAATACTTAAATCAAACCGTTATATTAAATATGTTCATGGTATAAATTATTATTATATATGTAATTTATTCAACAATTTTAGTAAATCACTGTCCTTTCAAAACATCACTTCGGTAAAACACGTCGGACAAAATGAATATATGTCAGTCATTTTTCTAAACTATTTATTTTGAAAGTGGCTTAAGTCACTTTACCGTAATGAAAAGTGATGATTTTTTTAATGTTTATACGAAATTATTTGTACTGAGAAAAATATCAGTATCCTGAGATAACAAATACATGTAAATCTTCTCGAAAGTTAGCATCCATATTTTTAAACGTGTTAAAACGCGAACCCTTAAATATATCGACTTCAAAACAAAGTGACTTATGCCACTTTCAAAATAAACGGCTCACTTGGCAATGCCTTAAAACAGTATGCGGCATTTTTAATATGACGTTCCCTTTCCGTTTTGTACATTCAGCTTCGAACTAAGCATACTTGGTCATGTTTTGTACATGTACGAAATGAGAATTGATAATGAATCGGTGACTGTGATTTTGTAATATTTAGCCATCACGTTGCCGAAGTGAAACATCGGTGGATTTGGACAAAGCTAAGTTGTTTGTTTCGCATGGATTTGAAGCTAAATCTTTTGTTTCGCATGGATTTGTAGCTTAATCTTTCGTTTTGCATGGATTTGTAAGCTAAATCTTCTGTTTCGCATGGATTTGAAGCTAAATCATGTGTCTCGCATGAATTTGAAGTTAAATCGTATTTTTCGCATGAATTTGAAGATAAATCTTATATTTCGCACAGATTTGGAGCTAAATCGTGTCTTTCACAAGCATTTAAACGTAAATAATATATTTCGCATGAATTTGAAGCTAGATCATGTGTTTAGCATGAATTTGAAGCTAGATCATGTGTTTCGCACGAATTTGAAGCTAAATCATGTGTTTCGCATGAATTTGAAGCTAAACCCTGTGTTTCGCAATAATTTAAACCTAAATCATGTGTTTCGCATGAATTTGAAGTTAAACCTTCTATTTCGCATGGATTTGTAGCTTAAGTCCAACATAATGTGGATAGATTTATACTTTTTTTATACTTGACTTTAACCTGTCAACTATTTTTTCCTCCAAGGATAGTACTAAGATTTTTGATACACTGGTGTATCGGTTTCAACTGAAACAGTTACGGTGGAATGTTATTGTAAATAATTGTTACAAGAGACCAAAATTTCCTGTCCATATCGATCTTGATCTCGGCCTCTGAACCAATTCTTACATCGATCTTCCGACCCTTTCTGAATTTTGGGACGCCGTCAGCATCATTGGCCGCCGGCAAGAGACACTGCATAGAAATGCGCGCTGAGAAGCCGGGCTATCTTCGTCAGAAAGGTATATAGCAATCGAAACAGCGTGGTGTTATGTGTATTTTGATATTTGCCATACTCGCAATATGGGTCATTATATATTTGGAACATTTGGCCATAGGCGGAAACCCGTTCGATTAAATGCTTCGCATTGCATAGAACCGTGTACCAAGTTCCATCATAATTAGTACAATTAGCTTCTTTTTATACAAGCTCTGTACTTATATGATACTAATTTTTGCGCAAACACGCCTAATTTTCATGAATGGTACGTCACTTTTATGACTTTGTCCGTGACATCTTCTCAGTTGAAATCATCGTTTCGCGTTTACTTAATAATTTTATATTATATTTATTGAATAATAATAATTTATACCATATTTATTTAATAATAATAATAATTTATATTATATTTATTTAATAATAATAATTTATATCACATATTTATTTAATAATAATAATAATTTATATATAATAATAATTATTATTATTAAATAAATATGGTATAAATTATTATTATTCAATAAATATAATATAAAATTATTAAGTAAACACGGAACGATGACTTCAACTGAGAAGATATAATATAGATTTATATATAATAATTTATATTATACTTATTTAATAATAATAATAATAATAATTTATATTATATTTTTTAAATAATATAGTGACCTACTAGTTGAAAGTGATTCGCTTGACCATTATTCCTGTCCTGGACCCTGTATAATAATAAGTGTAGCATAAAATGTTATTGAAATATATAGTGCGATAAAAAAAATAGAGAAAACGTAACTTCGTTCGAAGATATTCCGATGCAAGAATATTTCCTAAAATCATGCTTCGCCTGATGAAGTGCCTCTCATGCTCATCGAGGCTTTTCTTAACGAAGTATGCATTTTTGTTTCGGTCCTGATGGGGACGGATAATCGAGGTTTGACTGTATCGTTACGATTCTGTATCGTATACAATCGATAGTTAAATCCGTAAAAATCGAGAGAATCATACAGTGTAACATAATCGTTTTGTAAAACGAGCTGCATCGTGTAACGATGTTGCACTTCCGCCGAAATCCTCCGGAAATCCTCGGCGGAATCGAACGACGCGTTAACATTTCCACAGAAACGCCTTCTGCTTTGTAGAAGGTTACGGTTTACACGTGTGTACTGCAATGGATCGTCTCTCGCTTATGCTATCTCGCGACTTAATCGGCGCCTGTCGATCTTCGCGCGCCCGTTTCGTGCCATTTTCCCGCGATCCGAATAGATAATCGAGGAGCATGAATCTCGTGTCGAGTAGCGTAGGTCATGGTAGAACCCGCTTCCGATAAGAACGAACGCCATTCGATTTTCGAAAACTATTTATAAAACTTTTATCGCATGCGATACGACGTACGTGCGCGATATCTAATATATCGAATCAATTTAATCGGGTGGTCAAACTTTCGCCAGAAAACGTATTCCATCGTTTGCGGTACCTACCTAACTACCAATTTCCTGGCTATCATGCTGCCATCGGGATTACGTCGGTTTGGTTAAGTTCAAGTTCGCGCTTGTTCGAAATAGATGCTCCATATTTGGCCTTCGTATACGATCCGAACTTCCGAATTATACGTATATGTAGATATATACAAGAGCACTCGTGTGCCCATGCGCGCGTCTAAGATACGTCCAAAACGAGTGTACGCGTATCTATTCTCGATTATTGGAATTTCCGTAAATCTCTTAGTGGCAATGCGGTCGATTGGCTGTTAGCTTTTTATAATTTTCTTAATGCCACGAAATGATGAAAATTTTGTTGACCCTGGAACAATAGATAATTTATTATTCAACGTGCGCGTTAAATATTTGATTATTATGCATATATATTATAGTACTTAATAGTACTATAGTACTTATAGTACTGAATAGTACTATAGTACTTATAGTACTGAATAGTACTATAGTACTTAATAGTACTTATAGTACTCAATAGTACTTAATAGGACTATAGTACTCAATAGTACCATGGTACTTAATAGTACTATAGTACTTAACAGTATTATAGTACTTAACAGTACTATAGTACTATAGTATAAGTACTATAGTACGTATAGTACTTAATAGTATATCTATCTAACGTTTATGTGACTTTGCATTTTAAAAAGAATTTTTTATTTCATTTCATAATTCTATCCATACGCATATTCTTTTTTTATACTTTTGTGTATATTCTTAATCCTTTGTTTACAACCTTATTTCTACTGATAAGATAAAATCTAAAAGGATGCAGACGGAGAGTCAAAGGAACTCAAGTGATTGCGATAGACATCGTAAACAAGTTATCATATACATGTGTGGACGATCATATAATCTATCAGATCGTTATCAGATGTCTCCTATAGTAATTGCAGTTATTTATCGTTTAAACTGAGTGACTCGATTGGATCGCGATACTTTTACAATTATGGAAAAAAGGTCGTGTGTAGTCGGCCGTGTCAGAACGTGAAAAGTTCCACTATTCTTAGCTCGGTGAATTGCTCGATAGCGGTTTGCTATTGACCTTATGAAGTATCCTGTATACAGGTGCGTGCATTGTCGGGAACGGGTTGCATGTGCAGGTATGCGTTGCAGAAGGTGTCTGGTATATTGCCAGAGAGCAATATGAAATTGGACTTAGAGCCGTACCGGGGCATAGTACCAGGAGCAAAGTTACAAGAGATTACGTGCAACTACGAGTATTTGGTTACTTAATGATCGATCAGATTTACACGTTTCTGCGAGGATGTTAGAAACTCGTCGGCTATGGCGGATCGATTAACGTCCGTAGGCGGCGAGCCCCAATAAACCGTAGAAACCAATTGAGCCATTTATTTTGAAAGTGGCATAAGTCACTTTGTTTTGAAGTCGATATATTTAAGGGCTGTCTCTTATACACATCTAAGACCTAGGCGTTCTTCACAAATAGAAATAGATCCGTTATCCGCTGGATCTCGTCCTGCTGTCTCTTATACACATCTAAGACCTAGGCGTTCTTCACAAATAGAAATAGATCCGTTATCCGCTGGATCTCGTCCTGCTGTCTCTTATACACATCTAAGACCTAGGCGTTCTTCACAAATAGAAATAGATCCGTTATCCGCTGGATCTCGTCCTGCTGTCTCTTATACACATCTAAGACCTAGGCGTTCTTCACAAATAGAAATAGATCCGTTATCCGCTGGATCTCGTCCTGCTGTCTCTTATACACATCTAAGACCTAGGCGTTCTTCACAAATAGAAATAGATCCGTTATCCGCTGGATCTCGTCCTGCTGTCTCTTATACACATCTAAGACCTAGGCGTTCTTCACAAATAGAAATAGATCCGTTATCCGCTGGATCTCGTCCTGCTGTCTCTTATACACATCTAAGACCTAGGCGTTCTTCACAAATAGAAATAGATCCGTTATCCGCTGGATCTCGTCCTGCTGTCTCTTATACACATCTAAGACCTAGGCGTTCTTCACAAATAGAAATAGATCCGTTATCCGCTGGATCTCGTCCTGCTGTCTCTTATACACATCTAAGACCTAGGCGTTCTTCACAAATAGAAATAGATCCGTTATCCGCTGGATCTCGTCCTGCTGTCTCTTATACACATCTAAGACCTAGGCGTTCTTCACAAATAGAAATAGATCCGTTATCCGCTGGATCTCGTCCTGCTGTCTCTTATACACATCTAAGACCTAGGCGTTCTTCACAAATAGAAATAGATCCGTTATCCGCTGGATCTCGTCCTGCTGTCTCTTATACACATCTAAGACCTAGGCGTTCTTCACAAATAGAAATAGATCCGTTATCCGCTGGATCTCGTCCTGCTGTCTCTTATACACATCTAAGACCTAGGCGTTCTTCACAAATAGAAATAGATCCGTTATCCGCTGGATCTCGTCCTGCTGTCTCTTATACACATCTAAGACCTAGGCGTTCTTCACAAATAGAAATAGATCCGTTATCCGCTGGATCTCGTCCTGCTGTCTCTTATACACATCTAAGACCTAGGCGTTCTTCACAAATAGAAATAGATCCGTTATCCGCTGGATCTCGTCCTGCTGTCTCTTATACACATCTAAGACCTAGGCGTTCTTCACAAATAGAAATAGATCCGTTATCCGCTGGATCTCGTCCTGCTGTCTCTTATACACATCTAAGACCTAGGCGTTCTTCACAAATAGAAATAGATCCGTTATCCGCTGGATCTCGTCCTGCTGTCTCTTATACACATCTAAGACCTAGGCGTTCTTCACAAATAGAAATAGATCCGTTATCCGCTGGATCTCGTCCTGCTGTCTCTTATACACATCTAAGACCTAGGCGTTCTTCACAAATAGAAATAGATCCGTTATCCGCTGGATCTCGTCCTGCTGTCTCTTATACACATCTAAGACCTAGGCGTTCTTCACAAATAGAAATAGATCCGTTATCCGCTGGATCTCGTCCTGCTGTCTCTTATACACATCTAAGACCTAGGCGTTCTTCACAAATAGAAATAGATCCGTTATCCGCTGGATCTCGTCCTGCTGTCTCTTATACACATCTAGATGTGTATAAGAGACAGCAGGACGAGATCCAGCGGATAACGGATCCATTTTTATTTTTGAATAACGCCTAGGTCTCCCTCTTTTTGGTGATAAATCCAAAGTTAGAAATTCATCTTTTTCATCTAAAGTTAGTTTATAAAACATTTTATAGCCATCTGCTGGCGGGTCTGGAGGTAGCCGCCACGTCACTATAATATAATTTACAAAACTGCACTATTCTTTCGCACTTATAAAAATAAGTCCAGTGATCACAAGTTTTTAGAAATACTGAAAATAATTCAAAACAATACTTCACACACACTTATCACACGTTTCTATTTCTTTTACACTAAGCCCCGCAATGAATTTCCTGAGTACAGCGACTTACGCCACTTTCAAAATAAACATGTTTGTTATACCGTTAATTAGCAAAACTTCTCTCGAACAAATCTCAATAGTTCACAACTTATTGATTGCAAATTGTTTTAAAATGAAAAGATACCGTTCAATTGTAATTAGTGTTACCATTAACTCGATTTTTTTGAAAAAGTGACTTATGCCACTTTCAAAATAAACGGCTCAAGTAGTGAACGTATAGACCATCTTCTTGGTGAACATACAAGCATTTGAACGACGCCTCCTAAAACGGCGATAACATTTTCCAAATTGGACGAAACGACCTGAATCGACTTTTCTTTCTTCGGGACCGTTCGAGGCTCTCCGGCGTTTCCAGCATGTCCGATCGCGCCGATCGGATCGAAAGTTGTTTCGAACGAGGCGCGGACGTGATGGCTCACGAATTTCCTGATGTGCTCGGCCGCTCCAGCCTTCGGCTCTTCGAGTTCACGGCTCGTCGTTATGCCATATACCTATTCAGAGCTTGGTGGGACGGGTAGCTCGTGCGCGGCGCGATGAACCGAGTCGGCCGAAACCTGCCGGAATTATTAACTGCTGTCAGTCTAGGCAGCTCGATGCAGCAACGAGCACTTGACTGCCTCTTCTACCTTGTTAATGCAGCCGTGAAGAGGCGCCGAGATCTCGCCGCGGATCAAACGTGTCGCGTCGAGGTGATCCTGGGAGGCCGGCCTTCCTCGAGAGACCGATCCTGGAAAATCGAAACGGCTGCTGCTCCTCGAAACTGTCAGGCCACGCGACTGCACGCGCAATGATCTCGCGTGTGTGGAGCTTGCTCGCGGCTTCTTCCACGAATGAGCATTGAACTCGAATCTATTTGTGAAACCGACGATCCTTGGTAATTTCGAGCGGCTTGCGAAATCGATCTTCTCACAGTTTTCCGTTGTTCGACGCATTATATTCGAGCGTCCTTGGAATCTTGAAACGTTTCATGGCTCGGTGTTCAGGGACCGTATAAATTTCATCGTTGCTTGCACGATACTCGGAAATATTTGATTGGTCGGGCCCGATAATGCGTTGCTGTTTCTCGTATTTCGAATGAGAAATCGTCTCTCCGACTATGACGAAGTGTCCTTAGGGGTCAACGAAACGTTTCACGGTTCAGTGTTCGACGTCCTCCGGCTTGAGAATCGACATGGAGGAACCGGAAGAGACCGAGGAGAGTACCAACTCTTCTTCGAGCACGCCGTCAGCATCCTCGGCCGCCGGCAAGAGACACTGCATGGAAATGCGCGCTGAGAAGCCGGGCTATCTTCGTCAGAAAGGTATATAGCAATCGAAACAACGTGGTGTTATGTGTATTTTGATTATTTGCCATACTCGGAATATGGGCCATTATATATTTGGAATATTTGGCCATAGGCGGAAACCCGTTCGATTAAATGCTTCGCATTGCATAGAACTGTGTACCAAGTTCCATCATAATTAGTACAATTAGCCACTTTTTATACAAGCTCTGTACTTATATGATATTGATTTTTGCGCAAACACGCCTAATTTTCATGAATGGTGCATCACTTTTATGACTTTGTCCGTGACATCTTCTCAGTTGAAATCATCGTTTCGTGTTTACTTAATAATTTTATATTATATTTATTGAATAATAATAATTTATACCATATTTATTTAATAATAATAATAATTTATATTATATTTATTTAATAATAATAATTTATATCATATTTATTTAATAATAATAATAATTTCTATATAATAATAATTATTATTATTAAATAAATATGGTATAAATTATTATTATTCAATAAATATAATATAAAATTATTAAGTAAACACGGAACGATGACTTCAACTGAGAAGATATAATATAAATTTATATATAATAATTTATATTATACTTATTTAATAATAATAATAATAATTTATATTATATTTATTTAATATATAATATAGTGACCTACTAGTTGAAAGTGATTCGCTGGACCATTTCTCTATAATTGGATTGGTTGAGTCTTCAGGCATCTTCTCCAAATAAAGAGAAACGTCAGTAGTCGTCAATAATGTTAGAAACAACTCTTAACGTTTCGTTGAAACTTCTATGTTTTTTCTATTGAAAGCTTCGATCCCGTTTTGCAAGAAAATCGTACGTGGTCTATTCACGTTTTGTTGTTATTTTCGAGTGAAATACATTGATACGTTGACCGTCACATCAGCAGCACATGGGTGACAGTCAATTAGACAGACAATTAACCCTTTGCATTCGACTGGACTGACTCCGACTCACCGCTTAAAATTGTTACATAACGTTTCAAAATAATTTTAACATCGTCAAAGTTTATATTTCAAAAACTGTTAAAAGCGTAATTGTTTCAAAATTAATTGTCAGAAAAATGCACTTAAGCCGTACAAAATGGAAATACTGTAGGTCAGGAAAACTGTTTTTAATTCAGAGTTGAAATGGCTTTGAATGCAAAGGGTTAATTACGATGTGCGGTAGAACCTTGGTTCTCGTGTTGTAAATATAGGATGTCCCATAATTATTTCAACACCCGGAAATGGGAGATTCCTGAGGTCATTTGAAGTAACTTTTTCCTTGGCGAAAATTCAAACCGCGTCCTCGTTTACGAGATATTAACGAGAAAACAGTGACCAATGAGAGATCGCGTACGGTCAATGTCCCGCCCTTGCGGCCATTGTCGCTGTGTCAGACGGCCGGCGCGACACGGCATTGGCCGCACGGGCGGAGCGCCGGCCGCACTCGCTCTCTGATTGGTCAGTGTTTTTCGTTAATAACTCGTAAAGGAAGCCGCGGATCGAATTTTCGCTAAGGACAAAGTTACTTCAAATGGCTTCAGGAATCACCCATAATTATGTTAACATAATTATGGGACACTCTGTTCCATCGTTCTCGATCAAATTCCATTTGGACATCAGAGAATTCCAACATCGAAGATTCGCATAACGGTGGCATTATTCGAGCAGAAGAAATTGCATCAGCATCTATAGGCTGCGAAAGGATTAAAAGTAGCAATCATTGTAACAAGTTTGAACTTTGCGGGATCTTCCAGCGTCGATATTCAACGTGTTAAAGAGAGGCTAAAATTGGCGGCCCTGGCTACAAGGTAATGAAAGCACTCGTGATAACGATGGAACGTGATCAAGGTGGCTCGGTAACGATTTAGTTGGAAAGATTCGAAAGAGCCGAAGATTTGGAAGAAGAAGGTGCGAACAACCGAATCAGATCGATGATTCACGATGAGGAGCCGGCTTCTGCGGGGTAAATTAAGCCGCGTTATATCGGTGGGTGTAATCGGCGAATGCAGATGCCTGTTCCGACGCGAATTCGTAATTCGATAGACTCGATTGCACGCGAGCACGCGATTCCGCACGAGGCGTGTGCCAGGGGTAACATATCATCCGTTGTGTTCTGTTTGCCATTGCCGTGGAAAACGAATGACCACGTGCTGTTTGGTCGTAACGCTTGTCTGGAGCAACAACTGTATTAGAACGGGGTCTATGATGATACGATTGTGACACAAATGGACAAATTTGGGAAGAAGAGATACGATTATTCGAGCCTCGCGTCTCGTTTATTATAGTTGTCGACGATCGGTAACTATAAACAACTCGAACAATCGTATCTCCTCTTCTCAAATTCTCCATTTTTGCGCGCGATCCGAGCGCGAATTAGGGAGAAATTACTGTAGCGGCGAAATCTGCTGAGCGTTAGCATCCTTAGAAAGGTCAATCATTTCAAGTTCGTGTCAATCGAATAATAAACGACAACGTTATGATAGAGCTTTTTGACCAAGTCTTTAATCGATGTTGAAATCGTATCATGGAAGAAAAAGCGGCTACTAAATCGAACGTAAGACATGGTAAAAGTGCATCGGAAACATTTCGGTTGATGCAGCAAGTGTATGACGGTGCTTGTTTAAGTCGATCAAATGTTTTCGTGTGGCATGAACGATTTCTGGATGGTAGGGAATCGCTGGAAGATGACCAACACACGGGAAGGTCAATTTCGATTCGAAAATCTGGAACGATCGAAAGAATACGTAATTTTATTGCAAATGACCGCAATGCTTCACCGAGAATGATGGAGGCGGCAATGAAGATCAACCGAGAGGCGATTCGGACCATTCTTCGCGTCGTATTCGTCCCGATTATCAAGATCCAGACGGTTGAACACTGCTGCACGATAACGCGCCATCTCACAAGTCAACTCATTGTTCGTCAATTTTTGGCCAGAGATCAAGTCCGTGTGCTCGATCATCCGCCATATTCACCTGATTCGGCCCCGTGCTACTTCTCTTTATTTCCAAAATTGAAATTGAAGTTGAAAGGATACTTTTTCGAAGACATTCCGACCATCCAAACAGCTTCAACGCGGCAACTAGAGGCAATACCACAAATCAGCTGAATCATGCATTTGAATCCCCCCTTTGAATCGCTGTAACAAGTGTATTGAAGCAAGAGAAGATTATTTCGAATAAAACAACGTGAGATTTTGTGTATTTTGTTTCTATTGTGTTCTACTGGTCCAGTCTTAAACTAATTAATTGCCGCATTGTTTCCGTGAACTGGAGACACGTTCTTTCTTAAAAATGTTACGGATCGGAAGGTTTGTATCAGTAGTGCAGAAAATTCTCTGCAATTGTTCCACAGCTTGTAAACAAAAGTGGACAATTTGGGAAGAGGAGATACGATTACTCAGGCCTCGCGACTCGTTTTTATAGTCGCCGATTGTTAATGACTATAAAACCGAGCCGCGAGACTCGAATAATCGTGTCTCCTCTTCCCAAAAAGTTGTCCATTTCTGTCTACAAGGTGAGGAACAATTGGAGACATTTTTTTACCATTCCAAGTAATAGCAAAATCTAGAAAAAAGCATTTTGGTCATCGTCTGATAGACTAGTACCACTATCATCTTAATAAAATTCAAGTTACATAGTCCAGTCTTAAAAAACTTATTAAAATGTTTTAATAACTTAAAATCACTTTTAATAACAAAATCATTTTTAATTTTAAAATGTATACGAACACTTTTGTGGGCCACTATACGTAAAGATTTTTGAATTTGAATTCTTAATCTACACATTGCACATTTTAGATTGAGATAAATATATTACATTAATATAAATATATATAACATTATACATATATAACCTATAACCTTTCCCCAAATTGTAAATTTTTGTGTACAAGCTGAGCGTCAATTAGGGAGAATTTATTGTACATGGGAAATGACTGAAAACAGAGGAATTGGGTGAACTGATGGAACTTGTATTTTATGACGACGAATTTTGATATAGTCTGTTTTGTGAAAAATCTCTTCTTTTAAAAAATGGCTCCATGAGTTCCATGATGGAAATAATCTGGTGTCTCACATTAGGGCAGATCTCGCGTTATGCGACTTTATTTTAAGTCCGCTAAAAACCGTTTTAGTTAAGAAAATCATTTGAACTCGCTTTGTTTACGTATTACGTGTATTTTCTGGTTCGGTTAGGTTCGAGGTTCAATACTTCATTAGATTGAGATAGTAAACGCAACTCTTCAGATTTTCATCTGATATGTCATATAAAAAGATGGTAGGGCAAAATGACTGGATTGTTAAAGCAGAAGGGTCAAGCTTTAAAATGAATGAAAGTTCGTTGTTGTACACAACTGGTTTTTTTTTCTTTCTTACGAAATTATAAAAGTGCACACATCGACAATCTATTGGGTTGGCAACTAAGTAATTGCCGATTTCGGTTGTGATATCTCTCACTCCCATTTTTATGATACCCGTAAATGTTATATTATAAAATTATTATTATTATGTTATTTTTTATTATCCGTGAACGTTCACTTCTTCCATTTTTAATTATTATCTGTCGTTATTTTTCTTTAGTTTTATTTCACGCACGTTGCAATGAATCCCAAAATAGCAGAAATCAATATTTCGAAAGGCTCAATATACATATATATATCTCTCTTTGGTAATTATCAATCATGTGGGTGGATTTTTTAAAACACTTTGACTGTTAATCCAACGATCATAAAAATTGTATAAAACATAGCCATTTTATTTGATTGCATCGAAATAGTAAGTTAACTGAAATGTTACATGAAACGAAATTAAAATCTGTTTATACTGTTTATACTGTTTTGACCTAACGATTGTAAAAATTGTATAGAATCGAGGCATTCTATTTAATCGCATCGAAATTGTAAGTCAATCGAAATATGCAAAATTAGAGTCTGTTTATAATTTTCGATGTTAAAAGATTCGTTTATCGATTAAAAGAAAACAGTATTGTCGCAATACGTCAAAATTTAACATATGCATATGAAACAGTTAATACGATAACAAATAAATCAAAGTTCCGATGAAGTTTCAAAAGTTTCAACGAAGAGTTCGTTATTCCTTTAGGTTTAGTTGATTATGTTGTACCTTATTAATTTATCTCACTTAGAATCGAAACAAAACAACATTTTGTCAGAGATACATCGGTAATATTCGACGGTAGAGCTTCAGTTTTATTTTAATAATATG